TGTGCTATTAATATTTCGCCTTATGTCATAACAGAACACTTGTGATATATAATTAAGCCTTTTTGTTGATATTAGTGTAGGAATAGAACATTTTGTTTGCTGCTCTCTGTCACCCAACACCAAGTAATTTATGCAAGTGTCACCACTTCTTCCCAGAAGGTTCCTGATTGGTTCTCTGATTCTATATTAGCTCCGCCCACTCTACAATGATGTCAAATCGTGAATTATTATATTAGAAAAAATATAAGAAATTAATAAAAAAAACAGAAAAAAAGGAAAATTCATGGCACGTTAGCATGCATGCAACGCCAGGCGCTGTCACCATACAAGTTATAAATGACTATAATACCTTTTAAGAACATCATATAATGATGATAATTATACCATGGCATTGCCAGAAAGCTCGGCTATTTTTCATTGAGATTATCTCAATTTTCGTATTTTTTTTTTATTTTATTTTTTTTTTTTTACTCTGCGCAATCCACATGTCAGGGACCCCTAAGATTCATACAGGGAAAGTTGTGTATAAGGAATGTTGGCATCACTGTCACTACTCTCTGGATAGCTATTATAGAAAACCATGAATCTTCTGTTCCAACAAATATACTTCATATGACTGTAACTGCAACAATCTTGCTAAACAATCATGCATCTTTGGGTTTGGGTCACCTAGATATTTTATCCTTGACATAAATTTCACGTCATGTATAAAGTTTTGGAGTGAGATTAATAAGTTGAGGAAGCCTAGGAAACAAATGGATTTGACAGTTAAATATAGGAGAGATGAGTTATTAAATGGAGTTAGAGTATCGGGAAGATGGAAGGAATATTTTGAGGAACTGTTAAATGTTGATTAAGATAGGGAAGCTGTGATTTCGTGTATAGGGCAAAGAGGAATAACATCTTGTAGGAGTGAGGAAAAGCCAGTTGTGAGTGTGGGGGAAGTTTGTGAGGCAGTGGGTAGAAGGAAACGGGGTAAGGCAGCTGGGATTGATGGGATAATGATAGAAATGTTAAAAACAGGTGGGGATATAGTTTTGGAGTGGTTGGTGCTATTATTTAATAAATGTATGGAGAAGGGTAATGTACCTAGGGATTGGCAGAGAGCATGCATAGTTCCTTTGTATAAAGGCAAAGGGGATAAGAGAGTGAAAAAATTTAGGGTAATAAGTCTGAGTTTACCTGGTAAAGTGTATGGTACAGTTATTATTGAAAGAATTAAGAGTAAGATGGAGAGTAGGAGAGCAAATGAACAAGGAGGCTTTAGGAAAGGTAGAGAGTGTGTAGACCAAGTGTTTACAGTGAAACATATAGGTGAACAGTATTTAGATAAGGGTAAAGATGTTGCTGTGGCATTTATGGATTTGGAAAAGGCATATGACTGATTATGTATGAGTGAAGTAAAAGTGTTGAATGATGAAAGTATTTTCTTTTTGGGGATTTTCTTTCTTTTTGGGTCACCCTGCCTCGGTGGGAGACGGCCGACTTGTTAAAAAAAAAAAAATATGACAGGGTGGATAGGTAGGCAATGTGGCAGATGTTGCAGGTGTATGGTATAGGAGGTAGGTTACTGAAAGCAGTGAAGAGTTTTTATGAGGATAGTGAGGCTCAGGTTAGAGTATGTTGGAGAGAGGGAGATTATTTCTCAGTAAAAGTAGGCCTTAGGCAAGGATGTGTGATGTTACCGTGGTTGTACAAAATATTTATAGATGGGGTTGTAAAAGAAGTGCATGTGACGGTGTTGGCAAGAGGTGTGGAGTTAAAAGATAAAGAATCATATACAAAGTGTGAGTTGTCACAGTTGCTCTCTTCTGATGACACTGTGCTTTTGGGAGATTCTGAAGAGAAGTTGCAGAGGTTAGTGGATGAATTTGGTAGGGTATGTAAAAGAAGAAAATTAAAAGTGAATATAGGAAAGAGTAAGGTGATGAAGATAACAGAAAGATTAGGTGACTAAAGATTGTATATATATCAGACTGGAGGGAGAGAATATGGAGGAGGTGAATGTATTCAGATATTTGGGAGTGGACGTGTCAGCAGATGGGTCTATGAAGGATGAAGTGAATCATAGAACTGATGAGGGGAACAGGGTGAGTGGTGCACTTAGGAGTCTGTGGAGACAAAGAACTTTGTCCATGAAAGCAAAGAGGGGAATGTGTGAGAGTATAGTTGTACCAACACTGTATGGTGTGAAGCATGGGTGATGAATGCTGCAATGAGGAGAAGGCTGGAGGCAGTGGAGATGTCATGTCTGATGGCAATGTGTGGTGTGAATATAATGCAGAGAATTCGTAGTTTGAAAATAAGGAGAAGGTGTGGGATTACCAACACTATTAACCAGAGGGCTGAGGAGGGGTTGTCGAGGTGGTTTGGAGATGTAGAGAGAATGGAACAAAACAGAATGACTTCGAGTGTATAAATCTGTAGTGGAGGGAAGACGGGGTAGGGGTCGGCCTAGGAAGTTGGAGGGAGGGGGTAAAGGAGGTTTTGTGTGCGAGGGGCTTGGACTTCCAGCAAGCATGCGTGAGCGCATTTGATAGGAGTGAATGGAGACAAATGGCTTTTAATACTTGATGTGCTGTTGGGTGGAGTGAGAGCAAAGTAACATTTATGAAGGGATTCAGGGAAACTGGCAGGCTAGACTCGAGTCCTGGAGATAGGAAGTACAGTGCCTGCACTCTGAAGAAGGGGTGCTCTCCTTTCGTTAGTGTGACTTTGTAAATGGTCCAAGTCGGACCGAAACATCGTCGTAAGCTCCTCTCTTCTATGTACGGGATATTTGTGTATGACGGGTGGTAATGTTGCAGTTTTATAACTGAAGTGTAAAGCACCCCTCTGGCAAGACAGTGATGGAGTGAATGATGAAAGTTTTTCTTTTTCAGGCCACCCTGCCTTGGTGGGAATTGGCTTAATAGTTAAGGGATAAAATATTTGGGAGAGTTGCTTCAAATTTGGTTAGAGTTTAGCATAGTGTGGGTATGCTTGTTATTGAGAAATGAGATGATTTTTAAGTACAGTCCTAAATTGATTTGTGGGCAGGGGATCTCTTGCTGCTTTGGGTAAAGAGTTCCAGATCTTCAGGCCCTTTATGTGCATTGCATTTTTGCATAGTGTGAGACGGACACTAGGGATGTCAAAAAGTGTTTTGTGCCTCGTGTTATGCCGTGTGTTCTGCTGAAGCTGTCTAGAAGAAGTTTGAGTGGAGGGTTCATATTGGAGTTTATTGTTCTGTATATATAGTAGTTCTATTTGAAACCCCTGACCTAATCCCATTTATTCCTCTCCACTGAAACTCTCCCACCCCTTCAGCTTCTTCTGATTCATAATATCCACAATCATCTCTTTCTTATCATTCGCACAACATCCATGCACATTCAAACATCCCACTTTGACGATTTTTTTCTTTTTCTTTTTAGTAGGCTATACAGGAAAAGGGGTTAGTAGCCCATCGTTCCCGGCATTTTAGTTGACTTTTACAACATGCATGGCTTACAGAGGAAAGATTCTTATTCCACTTCCCCATGGATATAAAAGGAAAAGCAATAAGAACAAGAACTATTAAGACAGAATCAAAGAAAACTCAGATGAGTGGATACATAAATATGTACCTGTACATGCAGTGTGACTTAAGTGCAAGTAGAAGCAGCAAGATGTACCTGAAATCTTGCATGTTTATGAGACAGAAAAAAAGACACCAGAAATCCTACCATCATGTAAAACAAATACATACAGGCTTCCTTTTTACACTCACTTGGCAGGATGGTAGTACCTCTACCAACCTACTACCTTATTCTCTAAATTGAGCGTGATAGATAGGAGTGAAGGGAGACGAATGGTTTTTGGGATCTGACAAGCTGTTGGAGTGTGAGCAGGGTAATATTTAGTGAAGGGATTCAGGGAAACCGGTTATTTTTACATAGCCGAACGTGAGTACTGGAAATGGGAAGCACAATGCCTGCACTTTAAAGGAGGGGTTTGGGATAATGGCAGTTTGGAGGGATATGTTATATATCTTTATATATGATTCTAAACCGTTGTATCTGGGCACCTCTGCAAAGGCAGTGATTATGTATGAGTGAGGTGAAAGTGTTGAATAATGATGAAAGTATTTTCTTTTGGAGATTTTCTCTCTTTTTAGGTCACCCTGCCTCAGTGGGAGATGCCCGACTTGTTGAAAAAAAAAAATTGTATAGTAAGTACGTTCAAAGCTTTTGAAGAGTGGTGAGGTGTGTTTTCTGGCACAGGAGTTTATGATCATCCACACAGCAGCTTTTTGTTCTATCAGCAAAGAGCAACTGTGACAACTCCCATTTTGTGTTAGATTCTTTATCTTTTAGTCCCACACCTCTTGCCACACCTCACTTTTGTGTATTTAAAAAAAAAAAAACTGTCTAGTTCTTAAGTAGTCTATAGCTAGTGGCTTTCTTTTGTTAACAATAATTTATTACATGTAAACTACATTTTGTAATACCGCAGAAAGAAATAAAGTTTGGTGTTCAGTTGAGTGGAGGTAGTAAGACAGGTAGTAAGACAGGCTCAGGCCAATCTCTGCACACCACAACACAGACATGCTACTCTAGCAACTGCCCTTGTTTCCTCTTTTTAGTCAGTCTTATATCTGTTCGTTTTAAACACACTGGCCGTCTCCCACCAAGGCAGAGTGACTCAAAAATGAAGAAACACTTTCAGAAAGTTTTTCTTCTTTTTACATTTAATAATTTATGCAGGAGAAGGGGTTACTAGCCCCTTGCTCCCAGCATTTTAGTTTCCTCTTATGACATGCATAGATTACAGGGGAGGAATTTTTCTCCACTTCCCCATGGAGTTTGTTAGATATTCTCTGCATCATACTTATGCTGATGGTTTGGCAACAGATTTATAAGCCAGTGGAGAAGAAACAATAACAAACCTTAATGTTTCATGGTGATTTTTAAATTGTCAATAAAATCTTTATTACCACTTTGAAATAAATTCCCACTACTGGAGTAGATAATACCTACCTGTTCTCAAGGGTAAGAATGATGGCAATGGGTCTTCGGTTAATACCTCCTACACAGGACCCCAGACACATAAATCGCAGAAGAATGGGAGTGTAGTCGGAGCCATCCTGCAAGGGATCAACTGGGACTACAACGGACAAGCGTCCCGAGGCACTCTTAATATAACGAGCCTCAGGGTGGTCAGCCCTTACTACATGCTCAGGGTATGGAAAATCTGACAAAGAAAAAAACAAGCTTGTCCAATAAAGAAAAATAAATCTGCATGCAAAGCTACAAAAATCATGAGACACCTATATCACATCAATTACCTAAGTCTACCTGAAGACACAGAATCCTGTGTGATCAGGACCAAACTACAGTAAATAATGTAAAGCCTTGATTTAATGGACTAAGGGGTGGGGTAGTGTGTGTGGCTGGTAATGGCAACTGCAGTGAATAGATTTGACACTGTCTTGTCATAGTTACAATAATAACACACAATTCTGTAATCAAAACATTTTGTCAGTTGTTAGGAAATTGGTTGACTCACTGGATTGTGTCCCTTATTTCCAAAGTCCATTAAATCTAGGATTTACTATATTTAATGTAACACTGAGTTATATCTCATTACATAAATATTGAGAAGCAATACATTCATGGAAAAAGAGAACATAAATAATCTTAAAGCAAGTCTTAATCTGAACATGCATAATAATAATAATAATAATAATAATAATAATAATAATGCAGAGTAAGACACCACTTGGACACAAATATGAAACATTGGTAAAGAAAGAAAGAAAAGAAAGAAAGAAAAGAAAGAAAGAAAAGAAAAGAAAGAGAAAAAGAGAAAGAAAGAGAGAAAGAAGAGAGAAGAGAGGAGAAAGAGAGAAAAGAGAGAAGAGAGAGAAGAGGAGAGAAGAGAGAAGAGAGAGAGAAAGAGAGAAGAAGAGAAAGAGAGAGAAAGAGAGAAGAGGAGAGAGAGAGGAGAAGAGAAGAGAGAGAGAGAGAAAGAGAGAAGAGAGAAGGAGAGAGAGAGAAGAGAGAAAGAGAGAAAGAGAGAAAGAGAGAGAGAGAGAGAAGAGAGAAAGAAAGAGGAGAGAAAGAGAGAAGAGAGAGAAAGAGAAAGAGAGAAAGAGAGAAAGAGAGAGAAAGAGAAAGAAGAGAAAGAGAGAAGGAGAAGAGAGAAGAGAGAGAAAGAGAGAAAGAGAGAAAGAGAGAAAGAGAGAAGAAAGAGAGAGAAAGAGAGAGAAAGAGAGAAAGAGAGAAAGAGAGAAAGAGAGAGAGAAGAGAGAAAGAAGAAGAAAGAGAAAAGAGAAGAAAGAGAAGGAGAAAGAGAGAAAGAGAAAGGAGAGAAAGAAAGAGAGAGAGAAATAGAAAGAAAAAAGAGAAGAGAAAGATGAGAAAGAGAAAGAGAGAAAGAGCATAGAAGAGAAAAGAAAGAGTAGTAATGATTGAACTATGATTGAGACATCAGAGAGAAGAAAAAGGAATAGCTAACAAGAAAATCGAGTGGGTTATGTGATCATTAGAGTCTTGCTTTGACTCTATGGTAGAGTCTAGATAGATCTACAGCATACACATCTCTCTTACCTGTGAGTCCAAGAAAATTACTTTGCATCTTGAATCTATTCAGATTATATCTACATGATACCAGTCTCCATCACATGTGAGTCATACTTTTGTTAACTTATTTTTCACTTTAGCTGAGTTGCAAGATCTATTCACATTATACAATACTAAATAATAATTACCAGAGTCCTAATTCACAAATTCCATTGAACATCAGCATTGGACTTTTCTGTATTGTGCTCGTTTCATAGTACTTGCATCATATTATCAACAAAAATGTTAGGTTTAAAATGCTTTACCATAAAATTAGACCATACTGGAATTAGCACATAAAGGGTTTATTGACATTCACTGCAAAAATATGAACATTTCGCTATTTGACTCATTTCAAGTACTTTTCTATTTGAAGTATTCAAAAGCATCATTTCATTTCTGTAATATATCTTCCATTCTATCAAATAGACCAAAAAAACGAGAATAAACCATAAAAACCATACGAAACATATACTGCAAAGAGGAGCTATGGCTGAGAAGTGAACCCCTTTTATCATCTGTCTTTTTATTTTGTGTATTAAGAAGCTATCTTTTCCATCATACATTGCCAATTTCAATAAGTTACCCACAAACAACTGAGAAAAAAACATATTATTTACCAAAAAACATATATGGCAAGCCAAGCACAGGTACTGGAATAAAAGTCACTTTTGACTTTTTTGGGTTATCCCAGGTTCTCTATACATACACTGCTATGTATGATAATCTATGTAACTGTATTTGTGTATATCTGAATAAACTTACTTACTTCTAGTCAGTTGACTGAGTACAAGAAACTGCCCATTCACTTATTTCAACTACCCAATATAGTGGTCAGAAATTGGCAATTTGGCCGATTTCACACAAATTTCAACAGATGCCAATTTCAAAATAGGTTCCAGAATAAACAATGCAGACATTCCTGGCACTAAAATAATATTTTCTCTGTTCATTAGTCACGGCTACAGGCCCCTCTTATATCACTCTTGCTTACCATTTGGAATTTTTATTCACAAAAAAAAAAATAGATTTACTGTTATGCAGACTGCTGCATTACTGTAATAATTGTGTGAATAATGTCAACCCATTCTTGACTACGTACTGGAATTTGGACTGGCAGGCACACAGGTATTGGACGGTGACATCATTTGTTCGCTCTTAAGCTTCGCTAAAGAATAGAACATTTTCGCTACTGTGAGCGCAATTTCAAGGTACTTTTCGTCATAAAAGCAAGGTACTTTTCGTCATAAAAGCAATCAAAATCATATCTATTTCTGTAATATATATTTCATTCTATCAAATGAGACCAAAAAAATGAGAATATAACCATAACAGCCATACAAAAATATACTGCCAAGCGGCCACTAATGGCTGAGAAGTGAACTCCGCTATTTATAGTCTGATTTCTTTCGTTTTTGGTGTACGTTAAGTATCTTTCCATCATACATTACCCAAATTTCAATAAGATAACCCAACAAACAACTGAGAAAATAACAACAATAATAATAATAATAATAATAATAATAATAATATAGCAGATGAACAAGGAGGCTTTAGGAAAGGTAGGGGGTGTGTGGACCAGGTGTTTACAGTGAAACATATAAGTGAACAGTATTTAGATAAGGCTAAAGAGGTCTTTGTGGCATTTATGGATTTGGAAAAGGCGTATGACAGGGTGGATAGGGGGGCAATGTGGCAGATGTTGCAAGTGTATGGTGTAGGAGGTAGGTTACTGAAAGCAGTGAAGAGTTTTTACGAGGACAGTGAGGCTCAAGTTAGAGTATGTAGGAAAGAGGGAAATTTTTTCCCAGTAAAAGTAGGCCTTAGACAAGGATGTGTGATGTCACCGTGGTTGTTTAATATATTTATAGATGGGGTTGTAAGAGAAGTAAATGCTGAGGGTCTTGGCAAGAGGCGTGGAGTTAAAAGATAAAGAATCACACACAAAGTGGGAGTTGTCACAGCTGCTCTTTGCTGATGACACTGTGCTCTTGGGTGATTCTGAAGAGAAGCTGCAGAGATTGGTGGATGAATTTGGTAGGGTGTGCAAAAGAAGAAAATTAAAGGTGAATACAGGAAAGAGTAAGGTTATGAGGATAACAAAAAGATTAGGTGATGAAAGATTGAATATCAGATTGGAGGGAGAGAGTATGGAGGAGGTGAACGTATTCAGATATTTGGGAGTGGACGTGTCAGCGGATGGGTCTATGAAAGATGAGGTGAATCATAGAATTGATGAGGGAAAAAGAGTGAGTGGTGCACTTAGGAGTCTGTGGAGACAAGAACTTTGTCCTTGGAGGCAAAGAGGGGAATGTATGAGAGTATAGTTTTACCAACGCTCTTATATGGGTGTGAAGCGTGGGTGATGAATGTTGCAGCGAGGAGAAGGCTGGAGGCAGTGGAGATGTCATGTCTGAGGCAATGTGTGGTGTGAATATAATGCAGAGAATTCGTAGTTTGGAAGTTAGGAGGAGGTGCGGGATTACCAAAAATGTTGTCCAGAGGGCTGAGGAAGGGTTGTTGAGGTGGTTCGGACATGTAGAGAGAATGGAGCGAAACAGAATGACTTCAAGAGTGTATCAGTCTGTAGTGGAAGGAAGGCGGGGTAGGGGTCGGCCTAGGAAGGGTTGGAGGGAGGGGGTAAAGGAGGTTTTGTGTGCGAGGGGCTTGGACTTCCAGCAGGCATGCGTGAGCGTGTTTGATAGGAGTGAATGGAGACAAATGGTTTTTAATACTTGACGTGCTGTTGGAGTGTGAGCAAAGTAACATTTATGAAGGGATTCAGGGAAACCGGCAGGCCGGACTTGAGTCCTGGAGATGGGAAGTACAGTGCCTGCACTCTGAAGGAGGGGTGTTAATGTTGCAGTTTAAAAACTGTAGTGTAAAGCACCCTTCTGGCAAGACAGTGATGGAGTGAATGATGGTGAAAGTTTTTCTTTTTCGGGCCACCCTGCCTTGGTGGGAATCGGCCAGTGTGATAATAAAAAAATAAATAAAAAATTATTACACATACATGTACATGGTACACAGGCCTAGCTGACATCAGTGACATACTACTATATAGAAAGCCGCTTGTTATGCAGAGTACAGTGGTCCCTCGCTTTTCGTAGTTCTCGGCAATCGTAAACTTCGCCAATCATAGGGGTATTTTCATATAAACATAGACTCGCTTTTCATAGGTTGACTCGCGAATAGTAGTTCGTCCGGGACGCATATGCACGGTGTGAGCCAGGGAGGCCTCCCTACCCAGCCAGTCTGGCATTGTTTACCAGTGAGTGAAGGTCCCCTCAAGTGCTATGAAATATTTCATAATATTCCACTCATTTTAGTGCTTGCAAGTACTAAATAAGCTACCATGGCTCCAAAGAAAGCTCCTAGTGCCAAGCCTGTGGTAAAGGTGAGAAATATGGACAGTGACAAAGTCTTGGGCCATTTTAGGGAAGTGTTAAAGAGATGCCAGAAACAGAGCTTTCTCCACAGTTACTTTGCAAGACAGGACTAGAGTGACTCTCAAAGTGGTCCTAGTGGCATTAAGAAACAGAGAAGAGAAGCAACCCCAGAGAAGCAATTGGTACCTGAAGTGCTGCTGGAAGGGGATTCCCATTCCAAACTGTAAACAATCCAATCTCT